ATGTTAAATCGAATCACTTTCAAATCAATGAATACCTATCATTTATTGTAGTCAGATCGACACCAGGTAGATTGAATTCTAAACAAAAACATATTTTCAAAACTTTATAACAAATAATATTTGTTATAAGGTTTTATAGTTAATACATGTATATGGTAGTATTACTACATATTACTGCCACATTTTTCTTCTTATTATTAACCACTTGCCAACTTGTCAAATTCAATACGTTTTTCGAACTGTCAAAAACGACAGTTTCCTATGAATTTTATACCAGACTGTGTATTGTGACCTCACGTTTTTTAGCGTCAAACATCATACTTATTTCTTAAATATTTGCTGGAAAAATATTAAAATTGAGTTAGTCATAAACGATAAGATAAGATATTGAACGGTCAAAATCATTTATTTTTGATTAAGGCCTACCTAATAATATTAATACCTCTGCTCATTAAGGGGCATTGAACTTAATCAAATAGATGTATCATTGGAATGTTAGAATACTATCATCATCTTGATTGTGATGGAAGACCTCTATGATGGACACCTTTTGCCCCATCTAGGTGACATAAGACTGAACTTTTTTTTAATATTTGATGGGTCGAACATTTCTTTAACATCGCCTTCTTTCCGGATTGTCGAGTTCATTGACCGAACAAAGTGAACCGCTTCTAAAAGGAACGAACTACTTCTGTACTCTAATAAATTCAATTTTCTTTTTCGTAGCCAAAACCTCCGATAATGGAGGACCGATGGAATATATTATTTTACATTCTTCTCTCAATTCCTTAGTACAAAAAAGGCTTTGTTTCCTTTACATTTTGTATATTAAACGCGTTATGGAATTTTAAGAACTGCGATACAAAATTTTCTGGTATTTCTGTTAAAATATGATAAGTATGGTAGCGTAAACGTGTTTAGAGGTTTTTCTAAGGGAGGAAACTCATGCTGTCTTCTCCCGCCTTGGTTGGGGCGTGAGAGAGTGTCAGACTCTTACTTACTAAATACCACACCGTTCGTACTCCTGCTAAGACTAGGAGACCCGGTAACCCGTTAGGTTGTCCACAGTTCCAGATCAGGCATGAGCCTTACTGGGCCATAGTGTATAAGAGTTACAAATGTTTCTTTTACCCCTTCAGGGATGAAAATGTTCTATTCGATCCGTAAAGTACTGTTCAACAGTCCTTATTGTTCTGGATCGCGCACTATTTCAATTCTGTTTCCCGCAATAAGATAATGTAGTTGATTCGAAAAGATTTATGTAAAATCACGCCTTTTTATCCCCGAAGGGGTAGGCAGAGGTGCTCATTACGGCACTTAATGCCACTGCACAATGTAACTCCCACTTTTCACCAATTATGTTATAATAAGTCCCATGCAATAGGGGATGAGCCTGTTGCCATATACCGGGCTCAATTCCAGACTCCGTGCTACTACTGAGAATTTAACTCGTCGAGTACCGGTTTTGTAGACACAATTATAGAACAATAGGTTGCGGTCACCGGTGACCGCTTGGTGTTTGACAGTTTAAAACTCAGTAATATCGAAATCGAGAGCCCGGCAGTCGCACTTGGGATTGCGACCACTCGGCCAACAAGGTAGTCAAAAATATTTCTACAAGAAAATTCAATGAAAAGCCACCCTTTTCATCTTAGCACTCACTAGACCTAGTAAAACATGGTGCAGAGTAACGGTCATCTATGCCATTCTGTTCTATTTAAAAAAAAATCAATGCTCTAACCTACAGCATCCTAATTCATATCTATAAACTTCAAGCGAAATTTTCCAAATACACTAGCAACCGAACGTTCACAAAGGTTGAAATCGCATAAATATGTTGGGATAGATCAAAACTAGGGCTGGAGCTGTGAACTCGGATCGTAGCCTCGGGGTAGCGGCTGTGACCTCGATATTGAAAATTTTACAGAAGTTTTTATAAAATACAATGCTGTTTTACCATGGTCGTAGGTTGTATTAAATTAAGTAAGAATGTGGGGAGATTCTTTGGTCTAGTGTAAGTCAACAGTGGTTAATAATCATCATAATTGTAACACGCAAAGCGTCAATCGCTGAATATACCTACATAAGTGTGGGAGAGCCATGCTTCGGCACGAATGGGCCGGCTCGACCGGAGTGATACCACGGCCTCACAGAAAACCAACGTGAAGAGACGCTTGAGTTGTGTTTCGTCGTGTAAGTGAGGTTACCGGAGGCCCAATTACCCTCCTCTTCCCCAATCTCCCCAATTCCTGAATCCCCAACGATCCTCAAACTCCTAATCCCCAAAAGGCCGGTAACGCACTTGTAACGCCTCTGGTGTTCCAGGTGATCATGGGCGACGCCGATTGCTTACCTGTGATCCGTCTGCTCGTTTACCGGCTTATGCCATAAAAAAAAGAGGCTAATCGGCAGTTCTGTGCGAATGATATGTTTTTATCGAGACGCGCGGCCGCGCGTCAGCCAAGTTCAGCAAACAGCGCGCGCCACAGTGTATCTTTACACGAACCACTTCGTGCCACTTTTGACCCCTCTATAACTCAAAAATTATTCAACGTAAACACATAAAACTTCGTACGTTTAATTTATTAATTACTTTAAATGTCGTGGTAGCCAGGAGGTTTAAGACGCCCGCTTCTTATGAAAGAAGATGTGGGTGGGCTCGAAACCTATCATCGGCAAGTACCAACGTGACTTTTTCCGAGTTATACTTTCTATGAATATTTAGACACCACTGACAAACGATGAAGGAAAACATCGTGAGGAAACCTGGGCTTATAATTTGTAATTATAAGTTTGAAATCGTCAACCCGCGTTGAGCAAACGTGGTGATTAATCCTTATAGCACTATTAAGTATACGCGCGCGATGGGCGCCATGGCTTATTAGAGTACTTTATTCATGCATACGTTTGGAGTATCTATACCGAGTTTTATGATTATTTTTTTATTGAATAGCTATGTTAACTTTTTTAAGCCTTTAATGCTCAAACCTTCTCCGTGTGAGAAGAGGCTTTGCTCAGTAATGGGCTGTATGTATAGGTTGTTGATGAATGATGATATTTTTATTATATTTAAGAGTAAGCTTAACTTAATAAGTATAAGTAAGGTATTAGAAAAACAGTTTTGTAGTCATCACGGTAACTAGCCTTTTCAAAGAAAGATGCAATTTTAGATAGAGGATTAAGAGTTTTTATCACAGAAATATTCTTAATTATATCTATGGTTTTTATATACCTACCTTATGGATAAACATTATGTATAAACATTGAACAAAAACTAAGTAAAATTAAAAACAGTAACAACATTACCACAGTAAGCTTATCGCTAAAAGCAATTAAATACATTAAAGAAACTGAATACAAATATAATTACAATACTAAATACAAGTATAGTTTGCTATACAGTTCAAAACTTTGTTTGAAAATTGTTCAAGAATGATCATTAAATACGTTCGGAAACTAAACTTTAGGGTAATAGCCCGAAGGTGCAGTATACATATACCTAATATCTCGGTGTCCAATGTATGTAAATTCTGTCTAACTACAGGTAGAGATTACATCGGGCTTCTGGATGGTTTTGACTAGCATAATTTAATTTTGATAGCTGTAATGTGCACCTCTGCCTACCCGTTCGGGGATAAAAGGCGTGATGTTACGTTATGTGTTGATTATACGTTAAATTATTATACTTTTTTTTTTTTTGTAAAAAACGTTGCGTTGTAGGATTTTATCCTGTATCGTGGGTGCGTTTACAAACATACAAGTTCACATACACATGACACCCAAACCCGAAACAACAATTTGTGGATCACACAAAGTGTTGTTCCGTGCGGGAATACTGACAATATTAGGCTTGCTCATTAGTAAGTACCGTAGTGGGCACATTAAATCTCATGTTTTTTTTAAACCTTCATATCCAATTTCATTTGAGACACACGTATTGTGAGATACTTTCGTCTACCTCCCATATTAGGGTAGGATCACTAGAAGAGACGATTCTGTCATACATTTATGACGTCATTTAGTTTGTGCAGCACTTAATGCCACTGTACAAAGTAACACTCACTTTTCACTAATTATTTTGCGAGTCCCATGTAGTAGTGGGTGACTCCGTGATATCACTGAACATTTTTTTAAAACCCAGCAATACTATGCCCAACCCGTGAATCGAACCCAAGACCCCTTGTCCGGCAGTCGCACTTGCCATCACTCGACCATCAAGGCAGTATCAGTATAATAATTTAATGTATAATCAGTACACAATTATACAAACACAACAAATTTAATTTAAATCCCATTTCTAACGATTAAAAGGTCATATTATATTATCGTACGGAATTTAGTTACTGTACCTGAACATTGTTAATTAACGGGAGCAAATATTAATTAGTTCGTGTAATGTGGGAGTACCTACTGGAGTTACGCCCACGTCAATCTCCTTAGGGGATTTAAATAAGGTTCTATTAATTACAAAGGTCACTCTTCCAATAATTCTAGAAGATAACCATGGAGTTTCTTACATGTTCTTCTGCATAGAAACTTAGACTTTTCTGACAAGTGTAATTTTAACGAAAAATCAGCTATTATAGATGTATGTATTTTTAGAAGACAAACCATTGGTTTGTAGAATAATTTTATTCCAAGACAGATACCATGACTCCGAAAGGACAAGCAAAAGCTTGACAATACTTAAGATTTAAGACTTTACACTTTTATATTTTACGACTAGATCTAACTAGGAATTATACTACAAATTAATACCTTGAGGGTTGTGGAGTGCATTTCTGTAGGTATCAATTTTATATTATCATTCTGAAATCTAGCTGAATCTAAAAATAAACCAATTGAAAAGGGTATCAAATTATACGTGTGACTTGAGGGAATGTTGTTAGACCTCTTAAGTGGACAGTCGAATATCTATAGACGTAATGTATAGCCAAAAACGTCCAATTATGTATGATGACGTCATAATACCCGATGTGTAATATGAGGACACATTGCAGGGCGACGGAGGGCGGTCTGGCGCCTGGTGGCGATGGAGACATGCCTGTGGGCGGACCCAAGACGCCGCAGCAGATCGCCGCCCAGCGTCGCTTGCAGCAGACGCAGGCACAAGTTGATGAGGTGAGTGAGAACTTTTTCTTATTTATTGAACAGCTTTTTCTTCAGAACACTCAAATCTTCGTTGCATTCTTAAAATTAGATGATAAGGTGGACTAGTGGATGTATGGAATGTCAGAATGTCAGATGTATTGAAAAATTATTGAATTTTGTGGATATTTTAAGGGACTATTATTATGCTACTTGAGACGGGGACGAACTCAATAAATTAAACCTGATTTATCAAATTCTCCCCTGATCTTATGACCATTATGACCCTGTTTAACCGTTCTCGAATACGTTCGTTTTATGAATTTAAATTTATATCTAATTTCCAAAATCATACAGTATGTTCTAGTTAAAAATCCTAGTAGACTGTATTATGCTTCTTAAAACTTCCGAAAATAAGATATAGATACGATTCATCGACGTAATATACGTCACACAGTCACACACACACACACACACACAATACACACAACCTCTAATTTATTTATTTACAACAAATATGGCCGGCCAACAAACGTCAATGCTTCTAGACTCGAAGCAGGAAATTAAACGCCTGTCGAACGACAAACTATTTTTTTTCTTTTCTTTCTTCTTTGGCAATTGAGTCTCCAAGACAAACTATTTGCTATTGACACTAACTAAACGTCCCGTTTCCTCCATTGAGGGTAAACACAAACGAATAAACAAAGATAAAAGCTTTCTTTCTAGAAAATATAAGGAAAAGATTAAGGAAAAAGGACCATCTTTTTTCTTTAAGCCTTTCACAGTTTGTTTGTGAATTAAGAATAAATTGTAATTTGAAAAAAGAAGTATTAGGTAGCTATTTGTTGCTTCAATAGGATTGGCATTATTATAATAATACGTGTGTGTGTGTGACAATACATGATGTAAACAGAACGCACCCGAAAACGCAGACAGGGTAGTAAAAAACAAGCGTTATTTTTGAAAAAGGAAGGAATAAAATTTTTCTTCCATATTATTACCTGTTGTAATCAACAGGTCAATGTAATCAAATTTTGTATGAATAACACGAAACTAAAACGATTAAAATTGAAAAAATGGTCTGCATTTTCGGTAGCGTTTCGTTTACATCTATATAAGTACCTACTTACTTATATTTTATTTATTTGATTGATTCTTCAGTTAAATCAAACCATAAAAACAAAGTCTTAAAATTACCGTTGTATCCTGGTCGTATCGTTAGCGGTCCTCAAAAAATGCCCTGTCAAAATAGTGGTCCAGAAGAGTCTATGCGACTTAAAAGAATTATCCAAACGTTCATGATTTCAAATAACTTCTTACCGAATCTACCACTTTTTATAACGCCAAAATTGGTCACTGTGTGAATAAAAAACATCATTAAATTAAACTAATAACTAAAAGCCTCTAAAATCGTCTTCAACACAAACCCAACCCATTTTATCTTCAAGAGAACTCTATAAGAAGCCTTTCCTCTCATCTCAAGATTAAAATTTCCATTTTCAAACAGTTGAAGCATATAAGGACCCCTCAATTCATCAAAAGTCCAACGCAATAGAAGGTCAACTTACACTGGTATTGAATAGTGTCATGTACTGTCTATGCAAAACTATAAGGATGATTTGTCAAACCCAGTCGTGACGTCATGTCTGCGCGTGTATAAAGTATGACGTCATTGGGCAAATGGTTCTTAGAATTGAGGCATAGGTTTTACTTATCCGATCTCTGTGGTCATTATTTATGATTAGGAATGAATGGGCATTATGTTTTATTATTGTGAAGGCTTGTCAGAATGCCCTTTATATTTTTGTTTGGTTTGTGCTGGTGGTCATAGAAGATGGGATTTTATAGAAACTTGATGAGAGCACTCAAAGTATAGGCAACTGAAAATTGTCTCTTTTACAATCGTTCCGATTATCCCTTACAATTTTCTACTAAGCCTGCGATTATCGATTAATAAAGTTCTGAATAAGCAGCTAAGTTTTGTTGTAATTACTGGTCACTGTTAAGATTTCCAGCCTTGAACTCTTGATGACCTGAGGCCTTAGTACGATTTTGTTTTACGTTTCAAGTATTCGAAACGAGTACGCGTTCGGCGCTCTGATTGGTTGTTACATTCGGGCCGGCCAATCAGAGCGCAGAACGCATACTCGTTTCGAATAGTTTAAAAGTAAATCAAATTCGTACTAAGGCCTCAGTACTTACTCAAGTAAATACTTTACTTTACTTTAACAATGATATTTCATGTTACAGGTGGTTGATATAATGAAAACGAACGTAGAGAAAGTGCTGGAGCGAGATCAGAAACTCTCAGAGCTTGATGACAGAGCAGGTAATGCAAAGATCATCTTAACGCTCAATTTTTAAACTTTTAAATTGGATACTATACCTTTAGGAAGCGAGAATATTATCGTACACAAAACCATATTCCATTCTAATAACATAGAAATAAAAACCACAATAAATAACCTGTCATATTCAGGAAATTTGAGACGCTTTGATAATCTCTGATCAGGCAATCGAACCTGATGTTAATATTATATTTATACCAGGGTTACAGGTAACCTAAAGGTACAGTATGAATAGCTTTTGTACCTATAATACCCAATCATATTTTGATTACAGACGCACTGCAACAGGGAGCTTCGCAGTTTGAACAACAAGCCGGCAAACTCAAAAGCAAATTCTGGCTGCAAAACTTAAAGGTAACATTTTGTATAGAACCTATTTGGTTTAAAAAAAGTATAACTCTCAAACTTTTAATATTAAATGCGAATATTAGGGTTTAAATCACGGATATAATACAGAAGATACTTCTGACGTTTGAATGCATAAATTTAATGAACGAATCGTTGATACAAAATCTCGCCATAGTTTAACGAATAAATTTTAACCTGGACAGAATTATACAGTATAATACCTATAATATTCTGCAGAACAGGTTCAAAAAAGTATATATTCTCAAAAGGGTTACACGGATAAAATAGCTGGCATATAGCCAATTGGACGACAATAAAAAAAGCTTGGAAAAGATTCATATTGTGAATAAAAAAAAGAAAGAATACAAACAGGGTACTAAGTTTAATAAAACCGTTAAAAATACACCTTTTAAGTATTAAGCCATTCCTGCTACAGGTACTTACTTAATTTACAACAACTTTATTATTCATCGAATTATAGGGAACGGTATATTACATAACGCGAAGGCTTCGTAACCAGTAACAATATTAAAGTTTAACTTTAATGCTACTAAAGATCGTAACGAAAATTAGGTACTTACGTAAGACATTTAGCTGTGGACATTCATTCGGGATTTCTTCAAATATCATTACGACATTGTATTCATAAATAATATATTTTATTAGTTTGTTGATATTTAATAACTTATTTAATAATGTTGCATTGGCCAATCATTCTAATGATAACCAATAATATTGATGAGCAGACTTCAGTGTTTTCTTTAATGACTCAATACCTATCTCAAAATTTCAGATGATGATAATCGCAGCTGTTATTGGAATCATCATCTTGGCCCTAATCATCGGTAAGTAGATACAAATACCTAATTAAAAAAATACACATATTAGTAATACCTCTCTTGTGTTACACATTATTGAGTTTTAGACTAACCATATCATTATTTTTTCCACATTTTCAGCCAACTTTGTGTGAACAAGTTTCGGTAACCGAAGTTTAATTTAGAAGTTACATGTTATATTGTTAATGAATACTTAGTATAAAACGTATGTTATAATTTTTAATTACGTTATTGGTACTAAGCCTATCTTGGTAAGTGGGCAAGCCGTATCGTTTGTTGTTGATGATAAGTGTTAGCTTTGTCTGTTCTATTGTCACTTCGTTTAACTGTCTCTATCGAAGAATGTTTCATGCGTTTCGACATCTTCTTTCATATTATAAGTTTGCATTCACATCACTATGAAGTGGCCAACACAAACAAACGTAAAAAGTGCTACAAAATAAAACCATTTCATAAATAAATCTCATTGTTTTCTTCATAAAATTCTGATGTGAATAACAGCTTATAAATGATATTCAGCTTTATTTTGCATTATATATAATGTATTTACTCTTGTGTCTGGGATTGCTCTTCTGGTTTAACTATATCTATTATTATAAAAACATTATGCAAAGACTTAATGAACAATTAGACTATAGATATTATAAATTGCTTGATATTAAACAATTATTATTCTACTTTTATCCAAGAATGCGATGCTTGTCCCAGATAAACCCCGATTTAGTTTATGCTTATACCTAATATGCGTTAAGAAATTAACTATTTTATTCAAAATCTGAAATATATACAAGAATGGGACCCGCTTTATAAATACATGTGAAAAGTTAACTTCAAGAAATGGTTTATGGGAATTGGCTATGTGGTGCTTCAAATGCTTTGAGCAAAAAGAATAATTATGCAGTTTTGAAATCTAAGAAAGGGTGGAATTAAACAAAAAAGATTTTTCAAATAAAAATCTAGTCCTTAAATTAACCATGGAAATTCGTTCATAAATGTCCGGGAAAAAAATACATTTAATCATTAAAGATTTTAAGGTCAAAATCAATTCACAAACTCACTGATTTACTGCACAAGTATTTTAAATATTCATACATAATATTATAACATATACATATTTATATTGTGGATTCGTCTTGTGCTGCTAAAATTCTCTTTACCAATAGATGTATGATAATTAACTTTATTTTAATATTTTCTAGGTCTGTAAACCACACGTGGAGGATTGAGGCAGAGGTATGGATTTAAGACAGGTATATCTACTTACTCACCTATAATTAATTTTAAATGGTCTTTACAACGCTACAGATTGTGGCTCCACCTAGAGCAAGAATCTTAAATATAATTATGAGGCACGCGCTAAGGAAACTTTTTAAACAGCCTTATTCTTTAAAGATAATAGAAGTAAATGAAACATAAATAATAAGAGATCTCCACACAGTTGAGGATAAACTAAATGAACTCATAATTTACTTTAATTACAGGCGAACCACCCCACCTGCCGTAACATCAAGGAAGAACTTTGAAACAACTTTATTTTAATTTTTCCTAGTAATTAGTGTTGTTAATAAATGTCCTCTGAATAATATATCACCAAAAAATATCAAATGTTTTGCCTACTATCTAAATATCAAAACTATTTATCCTATCAAAACTTTTAGTAAATTTCGAAATCACGCGTCCTTGACATGATTTCTTTTATATCACTAACAATGTTCAATGCTCTGTTTAATACGAAATATAGTATTTTTAGATGATCTTTCTTTGTTATAAATTTTACCACAGAAATTAATATTCGCTATTAGATAAGACTTATCAAAAATACAGTAATATCTCTTGAATACTTTTTACTTTTTCGAACCTAGGCTGTTTGTTACGAATGCAACGGTATTTTTTTATATTTGGACCAAATTTCTTGAGCATTTATTTTGGGTCGTTTGATCTTTTATTTTTTTAACTTTTAAATTGTTGAACTTTGATAATATGTACTGTCTACCTATACAAATGTGTTTATCTGCTTGTAAATCCTACCACTTTATAGGTGTTATATGAATAGATATTTACACTTTATAAATATCAGTCCGTTTATGAAATGGACGTATGTTTCGGCTGATTTCTGTATTCAAAGTTCCAAGTTATAACGACTATAATATAACTAGCATTTTGATAGCATAGCGTGTATTGGGCCCATGTTAGCACCACGGCGGTTTAGTAAATTATTTACGTAATATGTTTTAATCGCTTTATAGCTGTAATCTATAACCGTGATCTATATTTTGAAACGAAAATTTGTACTTAATCAAATTGTTGTTTGTTTAAGTGAAATTAAATTAGAACATAATTAAGGACTTGTGCTATTTTGCGTTTTTACATAAATAAAATGTGTAATCGTAACTGGCCAATATTTTTAAAAATATATAATCTATCCTGTGTAACGACAGCAGTTAATGCATTAAATATCTTTTTACTGTGTGTGTACCTATTAATGTATGTAAAAACAGCTTCGTAGTTAGAAATTGTAAAAATTCACACTAGGTAATTAGATGTTTCAAATAAATAGCCACTCATTAGTTATATTAATCATTATGATATTCGTGGCTACTTTACATTTGGTCGTAACTTGAATGCCCTGTACATTCACCAATCTATCATTGCACTGCAGCATGGCGTGAATGGGAACGATTAAACTATAATTGCCACATTAAAAAATACATGACAGAAGCGACCAAGTGTAGTGGAGCCTTAACATTTACTATAAACATAGATTTATAGAAATTATTGGGAGGATTGGCCAGTAACTTACTCGAAATTTAGATGAATGGGATTTTGGGATGAATATTATCAAATTGAGATCGGTCCTTTATTCGAGATCATGTATCGAGACCGATATTTAAAAGTACGTAAGTTGCACATCGTTATTGTTGACAGTCTCATTAGGGCGAGATATTAGATCGTAATTATAAGTATGACGTCACGATTTTGAAACACAGTACCTATTTTGTTGTAGGTTCTAATTTGGATGAGGTGAGGTGATGATTAACCTTACCTAATAATGTAAAATTTTATGACAATATCTTATCATATTCTGTAGTTATTTTTCTAGATACGACATTAATGCAATCTATATGAGCTATGAGAAAAGAAACATTTCTCCAAAAATATGTTTGACTCCATTTTCAAACAAGCCAAAAATAATACTGCTGTACATTAACGGTTGAAGTCCAAGTTCAAAATAATTAAACTAAGTTTATTTTTTATTATTTTATTATATACCTACTATGTCTGATCGCCTAGAATGTTGATACATTTATAGGCACAGTGTAAATATTGTTCTTCCAATACAACTGACAATAAATTGTCATTATCATATTTTGTAAAAGAAAGCATTGTTAACTGACTATTGATTGGTAACAATGTTTTGGGGATTCCCCGGGTAAGCAAAAAATTATTGAGATTGCCAGCTATGAAAGTGTATCGTAGTCAATACTGACTTGGCTAAAACATGCCAACTTCCAACGGGATTATATCAAGTTATAAGCGTGGTAAAAATATCAACACTTCTGCCTATCTCTTTGGTGATCAACCAACTGGATATTATGTTTTGAAAGTTGTTAAAATACTGTGTTTCCAGAACGTTGACAAAAATAACATTCACTGTAAGGTAAAAAGATAACACACCACAAGTATGTTATGGGATTTAGATAATAATTTGGCTGTTACTTATAGCGTTGTTTACAACACTATGACGTTAGCGCAACACTAGTCTTCTTCAGTGTTGCCGCGCTATATTTTAAACAACATTGTAGGTAGGTAAGCCATAGCTATAAGCATTGTGGTCATAAAATATAAATTAAAATGAAATAAAAATGTTGTAACTGAAACGATGTTTCATTTATGGACTATATCACTCTTTAGACTCCTGACTATCTTCAAACTCAATCGTTCCAAGGCTTAAAAAAGAGAAACAAACTCTAAACTGGACAGATTCAAAAGGTTGAAACGTTCAAGAGCAACACGTTAGGTGCACCTTTACTATATAATAAAAACTAACACAGTATTTAAGAACCAAGGGTATCCACAAGAAAATTGATATTATCAGTTAGCATTAGCCGTAGATTAAATATTGTAAGACAATAGCAGATCAGTAACGTTTAATAATAATAAGGCGTTTGATATACAGTCTGCACGCACGTGCTGACGTGCGGAACAACTGGTTGTTAAGAGTCACATTCGATCAACAATAGCAACTAAATAAAGGGTTACGTACAAAATCAAGTTCCAGTTCTGTCCGTGTGAATAATAATAGTAAAAAAATAACAAACAGAGAAAAATGTTTTAAGATAGTTTTAAGTTCAACCTAATAACAACCATGCCACGTAATAATAAAGTCATAAATCGTCAAAATATTATCTAATACTTACGACTATTCGTCACATAAGACGAGAAAAGCATTTTCTTACTCCTGTCATTTAGAAAAAGACATAAGTTATACAATATCTGGTTTGAATTCAAACTTAAGCTAGAACAAATAAAGATATTTTTTCCGTTATTGCCTTGCGATCTATATCGTTTCGTTTTGTTTCGTTTTGCTTCTTCGAATTTCGAATTTCGCTACAGGAGGTATGTACCTATGGAGTCGCGTTGAACACTAAAAAAATTTATAATATGAAAACTAATATTTCGGGATCATCATATTTTTATTAGCGGTACGTTTATGTGTATGATATGTTTATTTACTTTATCATTAAGTCTAAGTCTAAGTCAAAATCATTTATTTCAGTTAGACCAGGAAGGCACTTTTGAACGTCAAAAATATAAATTTAAAAGTGAAGCTATTTGCTCATTCCAAGGTGTAGGTTCCTATGGAGAAGAACGAGCAAGAAATTCCATAGATTAGGTACTCTTTTCCCACCAGGTTACAATACAATTTTATTTTACAATACAAATCGACTCCATGCGTCCACTGTTTAAACAGATTTAAACAAATGTTTGTGCGCATATTGGTGAGGCTTGGCCAAGGGTTCGCCAACATACGCACAAACATTGGTGGCGTTGGTTAATAATTATATCTTATTTACTAGCCTACAATATAAGTTATACTTTATGTACTTATCGGAAGTAAGACACTGCGGCATCGTGAGACGTGATTACGTTGGCCGTGTTTGGAACGTACTAAACAAAATAAGAGCTCACTTCTCAAGTGAGCTCTTATTTGTCGAGACGATTTTCTTGCGCCGACCCTATATCTAGTTGTTATTGTTGATCGAAGAGAGTCACTAACCATTATATTTACTTTACTCTTTGGTCACTATCTTCAACTTCATTTATTACGTAACAAAATGACAGCGGCTAGCCAAATAAAAACTATAACCAGCGCTTAGTATAATTATGTAAAACCGCAGCGGTTTTTTTCCCTAACGTATCATTGTCACGCGGGGTGCCCTCGGCGCATTCATGCGACACGTCGCTGAGCACTTTTGTATACCTACCTTTACACTGGGTATCTAGCCTCTTAAGTTTTAAATAATCGCTGTCGCTGTAAGAAGATGTATGGGAAGATTGGAAAAATAGTTACCAGCTCAAAAATCTGAAAACGTCGTCAGTCAAAATCTTTGAACTGTCAGTTACGATATGTCATTGCTGTTATCTGATAACGTCAAAGTCAGTAAGTTGCTTCGCTTGCTGTCCAATACGTGTCGCGAGTAAAGCGAGAAATATTTGGAAAAATCAATTAATTTTTATTATAATTAATTTTATTTGCAGTGTAAATTTAATCACTATAGATAGTTCGTAAACTCACTCATAGTAAATTGCGTAAAGTTAAGTTTTACTTCATTATTTATTGTTGTGAATTTCACAACATTAGTACACCGACTGAGACGGAAACTTTAAAGGTATTTTTGTTTAAACACATATGGCAAAGACATTCGATTTGTAATAGTGTAGATAATAAACTTTTGTTACTTCTTAGGCTACGGAAGCTATGATCGAATTACCTCGGATCACCAGAGCTCTTCGTGCACACACTCAACTCGACAAGCCACGATGTTTAAAGCCGATCATAGACCCTACAAAATCTTTACAACTGAAGAAGAAAAATTTACAAAGGTAAGAAATCTTTTTATTTATGTTTTCTGACCCTAAATCCATGTTTTCATACTTTTATTCCAATAAGAATGTTTTAGTATATTGTCCTTCAACTATCTTATTAGAAAAAAACCCTAATTCTTGTTGGCGAAAGCAAAACATATAAATAAAATAACAGTGATTTATTTATTCAAAAAACTGATTCTAACAATTTTGTTTTTCCGAACTTGCATTCACAATAATGTTGTGCAATACTATTTCATATAAACAAATCATTATTATTTCACAATATAAGATCACATAACAATATTAGTAACTACCACAGAGTATATAAATATTTAAATATATTTTTTATTATAACTACATTTGTACTTAGATTTCATTCAGGCATCTTATAATGTGTAAAAATAGTTGTGTAATAATATTTAAATGCAGAATCAAAGATGAGATAAACTAATAAGTTTTTACAGACTTTTTCACTGACTTATTAATACCAATTATCTAAATAAAATTTCTAGGTTCAAAACCTACACAGATATTTACAATTATGTGAAACAAAACGAGCCAGAATCGACGGAAATATTGAAACTCTTTCCGCAACTAAAAGAAGCATGCAAGCTTCTCACGGGAGACCAGTCAGATGAAATCATTGAAGATGCTGCTGTTCTAACATTGAGAATGTTCCTGGATCAGGATATTGTGATGCTGAAGCATATGTCACAGCTTAGACAAACTTTTGGAACTGTGCTCTCTGCAACGGCTAATAAGATTTGTGAGGTATGTATTCTCTTGTGTATATTCCGTTTGTTAGTTAAATGTGGTGTATTTTTCCCTGATTACAAATGGTACAAATTGAAATTATGAATTAACAATACTTATAAAATAACATGTTCATGATAAATTCAAGTATAATTTTGCTGTTATCTGTACAATGCATATTATGATAATTAATAGTGCATTTTACTTCACTCGATCATATTTTTTAGATTATTATCACTGATACATCACTTTTAATGCATATGGTTTATAAACAATGGTAGTTTTAGGGAATAAAATTTCATTTTCACTTTACAGATTGTAACAAAAATATCTGAACAACTATCTGACAATACAAAGGATTATATAAGAACGGAGGAAGCTGAATCCAATAAAGAGAACCTCAAATTATGGGGAGATCACATCCAGTGTCATTACATTCCTTACAAACCAGTGAAGAAACCACTTGCCAAGTTGACAAGTAAACCCGCTACTGCAAGTGCCTTCGTTACAGATTTTTCTATGAAATATGATAGTGCAAGTCAGACTAAAGCGATTGCAGGACCTTCTAAAGTGCCTGCACCTGTACTGGAGTCTAAAGTTAGTATGGTTTTGTTTGTGTTTCTTTATAAGTGGGAAGGTAAGTTCTTTAAAATTGTGTATAGAGTATGAGTGTTAGATTTCAATAATGAAAACTTTTACATGATATATTTTTGCACTTTTATGTATCGAATATAAGTCCATATTCAAATATCGATCCAAAACATAATTCAATACTCTCACTAAGAACTAAAACTATATTCTTCGAGCAATGAAACAGCAATACTGAACTTAAGTGACCTTATCAGTTAGTCATCAATACATAGCATAACGTCACGCCCTTTATCGCCGAAGGTAGGCAGAAGTGCACATTAAGGCACTTAATACTACTGTACAATATTTCCAAACCCACTTTTCACTATTTTTGTTATGAGTCCCATATAAGGTGAGCCTATTGCTGTATACCGGGGACATACCCGACTCCATGCTATCACTGATTTTTTTTTAAAAAAACCTAGTAATCCGACATATATGTTAAAAACTATTTCATAACATTATATTCCAAGCTTATCTACCTCATTATCAGATTACAGATACAACATGAATACATACTTATTATTACCATTCACATTTGCAGTACGGCAAAACCTGGTTAGAAACTAAAGTAAAGGAACAATATGAGAATGCAGCCGGGATCTCAAGTGCGGACATACTTCAGTCCATAATCACATTACTGAACTCTCCTCGGACTAACGATGAAATGCAAAATGATCTCTTTGAGTTACTCGGCTTTGATAAGTTCGAGTTCATACTGGATATACTGGAACATAGGCAGGATATCATCAATAGTTTGAAGGCACCTCCGGCTGGTCCTACCTTGTCTGAGAGTAAGTGTTAAATACTAAGTTTTATACAATTGCATAAGGAGGACTTAACGCTAACAGCATTCTCAGCCAGTCATCCTTTAGGGAGTTCAAAAATGTATGTGGTAGGTGTAAACATAGCGTGCCTGACTTTTATACTCCATATGATGTAAGATTTTTATACTACAAACCCTAAACTTAGACTTGCTTGCTCAATCCTCCTCTATTTTGTGACCTCGACTGTAATGAACCCAATATTTCATGTTCTTTTCTCTTTTTATTTCAGTTGCAGCAATACTCCCTGAAAATAAAATGCCGCAGTATTTATGCCAAGTGTCAGTGCTGTCTGAACAGGAGAAGATGTTAGCAAAGATAGTGAGAAAAGAAGAGAAGAAGGCAAAGAACAGAAGGATTGAAGAAGATGATGATGAACAGGAGATTAATATTTCTCAGATGAGGGCTAGGAGGTATATCTAAGATTTTAGACCAATAATTATACTTTCTACAGAATTTTTCTTTAATGAATTTATTCACAAAGTTTTAAAAATCTGTATATCTATTTTATTGACACTCTAAATACGCGTCAAAATTTTCCAATGCACCTAATGCAGTATTTTTTTTACATTAAACTGGTA